GTTTCTAATAGATTCAACCTTTATTATTCAAAATATCTTTCCTTATTTTTTGTGGTATTTTTATGCGAAAGTTCTTTCCAGGTGGTGTAGAATCTATAGCAGGCAGTTCTATGCATCAATACATCAGGAGGTTTCTGAAAGTTACAGCTTCTTTTAAATTACTCATTAAAAAATTAGACAGAAATGTTCTGATGTTTGAAACTTTCATTTATATTGTTAAATACTTGAATGCATTTACTTTTGAATACCTAAGTATTTTCAAAAGTGAATACATGTCCCCTGCACTTTTTACTGTCCAAAAACAATGTTACACTATTGTACATTTTTTAAACCTTTTAAAGTATTGTAGTGTTTGTTTTATTTTAGTGTTAAGATTCTGGTGTGTTTGGGTTTTTTTGGTATGAGAGTGAGAGTTCCTGTTTTGAGAAAAGATCTCTGCTGCAGAGTTCTGTCAGTTCTAGTTGCTGCTCACCTGGTGGCCATCTTACCATCAGACTGACTGGTGTTTCAAAGGATCATCGCTCTTCACCAGATGATTGTCTATGATTGTATCTCAGCCAGTTCTCCAGCTCCTGTAGTTTTTCCAGTGATTTTTAGCTTTCATGTCAGTCTTATGTTTCCTGTGTTTCAGGTTTTTAGATGCTCTCCACTGTCCAGTGAAAGGAGGGATTACTTTTATGCTGCTGGTTGCTGCTTTGTGGCTTCCTCTGTCTCCCTCATCTGCCTGCCTCCCATCCAGTATGTTGATCACCAAAGAAACAGCATTGTTTGGAACTCGCTCTCCTCAACCAGGACAAACGTCGCAGGATCCAAACCCCTCAGGCTCTTTCAAACAATGGCCAAGTAGGTCTTTCCTCCCTCCAGTCGTTTCCCACACCAGCTTTAACATCAGCTTTGTTGATGTGCCTCTCTACTCCCGAATACTGACGCCTTCCTTCCACAGGAACTGAACAGGGGATTTGTTTTTTTGTTTAACCTTGTAAATAAATCCTAAACTTTAACTGGTCTCCTGATTGATTCTGCATGTGGGTCAGGAAAATATCTTCCAACGTGTTATTTAAGTAGTGATAATAAAATAAATTGATATATATTAATAAAAAAAAAAGATTTTATAAATGAAGGCTCATAATAAAAGTGAAACTGTGTTTTTTTTTATTTTAGATGGATTTTGAATGGTCCAGTTGCTTATGTCATTCATCCATAGATTTATCAGCAGAGATGCAGGAGAAAATGGAGGAAACAAAGACAGAAGAACTATTAAAAAACACGCTGAACTATGAAATATGTTAGATTTAAAAATACTTGTGCCCCACCGCTTCTGAAATCAAAACTTCATTCATGTTCAGTACTTTTACTCAAGTACTGCTGTTGAGTACTTCATACTGTCGTACTGTCATATGTGGACACACTGCATATACTGTATATACCTCCATGCACCTTCTTCTTCTTCGTTGACTATTTAAGTTGGAGTAACGAGTAAATTTCTCCACTGTGAGATCAATAAATTCAATCAATGAATCAACTTAAGACAAACAAATCCGAACCTTAACAATAAAGTATTGCTGCCATTAAAAATATCAAACCACCTTTGAGCTGCTGATTGCATTTTTCCTTCAGCATCATGATGACTTATTAGAGATGTACGAATAGTAAAGAAAAACGAGCTCTAAAGCTTAATCTGGCTGATTCAGGATTTTCTGTCGGGGGGGGGGGGACCATCTCTGAACAGATCAGGGCTGAGCAGATATTAAACATCCAACCACTTAACGGTGCACTTCTAAAGCTTTTCCAGTGTCTTGGTGTGAATCCATTATCACAAGGATGTTAATGTTTGAGGTAAAGTTGGTCAATTATGCAGCTATTTTATTTCCTGTCAATGTCAGCATGATGCCCAAACTGAATTTTGTTAGGAATATTTGTAACCTGGCTGATCAGTGACACAGTGGGTAGCACTGCTGCCTTGCAGCAAAAAGGTTCTGGGTTCAATTCCCAGCCCAAGGTCTTTCTGCATGGAGTTTGCATGTTCTCCCTGAGCATGCGTGGGTTCTCTCTGGGTACTCTGGCTTCCTCCCACTGCCCAAAAATTTATTGGCTTCTCTACAGTCCCCTCAGGTATGAGTATGGTTGTTTGTCCTGTTTGTCTCTGTGTTGTCCTGCAATGGACTGGAGACCTGTCCAGGGTGGAACCCCCCTCTTGCCCATTGACTGCTGAAGATAGGCAGCAGCACCCCTGTGACCCCATTTGGGACAAGCGTGTCAGAAAATTGGATGGATATTTCTAACCATGGTGAAAATATCACACCTTAAGAAATTATCAGATTAAATCAGCAAATTATTGGCAGCTCCAGCTGCTTGGGCCTGAAAAACGGGGATAAAATGTCATTTAAACTCACCAGGGTTTTTTTTTTCAGGTTTTCAAATATGCCATTTTCACTACCTTTTTAAAACTGTGCAGAGAAAACGGTCCGATCAAGGTAACCAAGAAAACTGTTGAGTGCAAATGGAACGCAAACTGAACCGGACCGTGCCAGAAACAGCTGAAACCGAATCTAGTTCTAGTTCATCAGTAGGACTCGGCATGCTTCCTCTGTGGATTCTCATAATGGAGAGCGCCTGAGCAGACCGCCTCATCTCCGATTTACAGTCAGTTGACTTATTTTGCAGGTTTTCCTGCGTGTCCAGCTTTGGCATTCCCAGATCTCTTCACTTGTTCACAACATGAACTTCTCAGTTTATTAACAATAAATGGCATCAACCGATACCAATGATGCCTTCTCCGCCTGACATTCTGCAAACAACAAAATATCACTGATATAAACAAACATAACTTCCTGGATGCTAAGGGCGCCACCATTTTTGTTTGCACAATTGCCTTCAGAGCTGTAGTGTCATGGGCCGCTGATATGAGGCCAGGAACTGTGCTAGTGTGATGTGCTGGTGAAGGTTTTCAGTCATCCAGGTCAGCATCATTCCAAAAGAGTTAAAAACAATCCACTGGACTTTGTTTTCAAGATTGAAGACGTTTCGCTTCCCATCCAGGAAGCTTTTTCAATTCAAAATGTCAGAAATAGCGTTTTTGAGTATAAAACCTCGAACTTGACGCTATTCCTTTCATTTTAAATTAAAAAGCTCTTAACATTTCTCTATCTGTAGAATGGTCTGTTTTATGTGTTGTCTTCTCCATTCAGAGGACCCCATGCCTGTCATTCCACAGGGACCTAAATTTCCTAAATCCTCCCCTGGTCACAGCTGTACGGAAGAGGATTAGGGCCACTGGAAAAAAAAAAAGTTAACTGATTTTTTTTATTTTATTTCAGTATAGTATGGGAAAAAAGTCAGAATTCTGACTTTAATGTCAGAATTCTGATTTTTTTCTCAGAATTCTGACTTTTTTCTCAGAATTCTGACTTTAATCCCAGAATTCGGACTTATTTCTCAGAATTCTGAGAAAAAAGTCAGAATTCTGACTTTAATCTCATAATTCTGACTTTTTTCCCATGTTAAACTGAAATAAAATTTAAAAATCAGTTTACTTTTTTTTTTTTTTTAGTGGCCCTAATCCTCTTCCGTACAGCTGTTTACATTGTTACATCACTTTAATTTCCTCCCACTTTCACACGTCGATGTGTTTGTCTTCCGATAAACCCTGAGGACCAGAGGAATTCGGTTGTGATCAACGGTTCAAATATTGTCTGTTTATTTGGCCTTTAAGTTTAATTATGAATCTTTTTTATTTGTGTCCCTGTGTCTTTATAGCTCATTAGTGCAAACATATATCACTCTGTGTGTGAGTCACTATCTTCAAGTGAAAGTTTATTTTTGTTGTTCATGTTTACACAGCTGCCATGTCAAAAGATGCATCTTAGATGGGGAAACTGACACTTTACAGCAACGTACAATACAAAATACACACAGTATAGTCATGAATAATTATGATCAAAGCTTCAGACTAACTAACAGCTTCCTGGAGGGAAAGCCTCTTTTTTAAAGTGTCCAAAGAGTCCAGACAGACAGACAGACAATGTCAGAGAAGACGTCCAAGTGAAGCTCTCAGGCTTGTTTTTAATCACCATTTATTATTACTGTATCATTACATGTTTACCACAAATATGTTGTTCTCATTATATGTCTAAAGTTTTTTATGGGACCCTGCCTAAGTAGTAAAGTGTTTTAGCTTTGATGAGTTTTAAAGTTGAGTTTATTGATAGAAAAGGTAATGAGGTCCCCCACCCAGCAATCTGTCTTTCTGCCTGTCGAGGCAAAACTTTAACGTGAAACAGGAAAAACAAGCTTGAAGGATTAATGGTTGACTGACGCTGAACGGGAGAATTACCAGAGGTAGGAGAAGGTTCAGAGATCAGAGTCTGGTGGGTAAATATTTACATCCTGGAAGATAATCTGCACTGAATCCACATCATAAACCAGGCTTTATGCTACGTTCAGACCGGATGAGGTTTTACCATCAAAGAAGCTTCTGCTTCTTCATCTCTGATCCACATTAAGGTCAGACGTCCAGTAAAGTGTGTCTAGATGCTTCTGCTGCTCCTGTGTTCAATGCCAGAGAGCGGCTTTGCTATATTTGCTGTGATCAGTGGGTAAAAAGTAGTTTGAATCTATTTTGAAGGGAGAAGGTCCACCTGGAAAAACATCGTCAGTGCAGTCAGTCCATCCAGATAACCATCCTGCCTTCAAAGATTATTTCTCTGTGGGAGCCGCTCAGACCCCCACATACCGGCGGTGCTCTGTCACTGGGAATCCCCAGCAGCAGCTGCCTCAGGCCCGCTCCCATCTTAGGGGTTTTCCCCTACTGTTGGTGGCGGCTGGAAGTAGATGTTAGCGTTTTTCAGGTCTGCTTCAAACTGCAGGCAGCAGGATAATAAAAGTGAAAATATTCTGCCAGCAGGTTTCTACATTTTAAGTTAGTTCAGGCGTTAATAAACTGTTTCAGAGGAGTGATCATAGCGCTCTGCATCAGCAGTGCTGTGTCTGTCTCCCTGCCAGCTCCCAGATCAGCTTCTCTCATTGGTTGATGTCCAGCAGCTAAAGTTACATTTCTCCAACTCCAGCAGCTGCTGCTTCTAAAGCCTCAGATGCCTCTATACATGGGTGTTGCGCGCTAACCACTGCGCCACCTGCCCCACTTTTTGATGTTTTTTGAAGCGTATGGCGATCTGACCTTAAATTGTTTTTTGTATGACTAAAGTCATACACACCCGTTGAAGTAGTTTAAAGTCTATTTTTCGTGCAAAACTAAAGGGATAAATGTAAATCTGCGTATTGACTATAGGCATGCTGGTCTGACAGAACAGCGGCAGCAGGAAATCCTCCACAGGCTGGCCGCAGCAGAGAGCTTTCAGCTGGGATTCCAAGCGCTGCCTCCCGGCGGTATGCTGGAGGTCTGGAGCTCCCAACAAGAACTGCAGATTATAGTGGGATTATAATCCTGATAAACAGAGGAACAGAGGATGTGTGGAGGTGGAATTTCTCACTTAAAAACAGGTTAAAACGATTTTTCCAACTAAAAAAGTAAATAAAGCCGAGCGGCTCTTTAGCTTGAAGCTACAGAACAGAGCAAATTAAAAAACAAGAGCGCTGAGCAGCAAAGCAACTGGACCACAGTTTGATCCAGAGTACAGATTTCTGCGTTTAAGTATTTTGACACCCAGAACACTTTCGGTGTGAACTGAGCATAAGGATTTCTGATCAACATTATGCCCTCAGGTGGCTTCAGTCATTTCATTAAACCCTGAGGTGCTCTCTTCTTCTCTCCCCTTGCACAGCTCCCTGATCTTCATCCTGAAGTTATTTCCAACAATGATGTAAAGAACAGGGTTGATGATGCTGTTGAGAAGGCCCAAGTAGAAGAAGATATCCAGGCAAACCCTGATGACAGTGAGGATCCTGCACCCTGTCAGGACTTTGACCCCATGTAACCACCTCAGAATCTCCATCAGTTGGTAGGGACCCCAGCAGATCAGGAAGGCCAGGAGGCAGGCCAGGACCAAGGTGGTGGCTTTATGGTCTGTTTGCTGGAGGCTGTTGGATAACCTGCGTCTGAGAGTCTTTAAAATCATGACGGTGCAAAAGGAGATGATGATGATGGGGATGATGAAGGTTAACACCACAGACATTAACCGAACTCTGAGCATGGTATCAACTGGAAAACTAAATGAACAAGTGGTAATATTATTTTTTACTGTTTTGGTTTCACTGTAGATGAAGTAGGAAATGTTTTGGAAGAAGCCCAGAGACCAAACCAGAGCACAGCCCAGTTTAGCATACAGGGGTTCTCGGATATTCATACAGGACAGTGGGTGCACCACAGCAAGATAACGATCGATGCTAACCATGACCAGCAGGTAAACACTGCAGGTATAGTTTATCCTATAAGTCTGACGGTACACTTTACACATGAAAGAGCCAAAATCCCAGTCATAGTCACGGAAAATAAGAACAGCCCAGAGGAGAATGCAGAACATCAGAACCAGGTCGGCTGCAGCCAGGTTGCTCAGGTAGATCTCTGGGACACTGCAGGGCTTCTTGTGGAGGCAGAGAACGATCAGCACAAATGAGTTTAAGATAATTCCCAGGATGGAAATCATGACGTAGACTTCCCCCCGAGAGAAGTCATCTTCATAGCTGCATGAAGACGTTTGGTTTGGGTCTCTGTGCATGAAGGTGCTGTTGGCAGGGAGGCTGCAGGGACGAGGAAGATGAAGCAGAAATGAAATATTAATGAAAGAAGAAGTTGTGCTTTCTAATGAGCAGCTTCAGATGAACAAAAATAATTTTCTAACTTATATGAATAAACTGTTTTCTTTTGTCTGAATTAAATCTTGAGTAATAAGACGGTTTGGTCTAAATTCTCACCTACTTTGCATACCCAAATGGATGAGCAAATAACTGAGGAACGGGTGAGTAGAACGCAGACCAAGCTGCATCAATTCAAACAAGACTGAAAACGCTCATAAATAATAGGTCTTTTTTGAACAGCAGTAATAAAGACATGCTTGAGAAAAGGCGTTTCTCATTGTATTACATTTGTTCTACATCATGTTAACCACAAATGTTGAAATTTCAGACCTCTAGTTCCAACAGTTACAGAGCTATGGGGCTTTGACCTTTTGGTGTCACCAGCGTTTCCAAAAATCTCCAAATGTACCAAATGCTTTTACTTTGCTTTGCTTTACTATTTGACCCATAGAATAACACTGAATCATTTTGATGGCCACAAAACATTTATGAATCGAGTATTATCCACTTTTTTTCAGAATCAGTGTATATAACAAAATGCAACATTTATACACTTAGGATAAAATAAAAATCTATAAAAGATAGTGAAACTGCTGCTTTTCAAGCTAAAATAAGCCCCAGTGCCTTTTCTGAGCTGTATTTAAAGGTGAACAACGTTTTTTTTACATTGGGCCCTTGATTTTCAGTTATTACATCATGTTGGGGATCTGAGGATATTCCGTTAGAAGGCACAAACTAAACTGTTCATAATTTATTCTTTATGGTACGCCAGCATTCAGAACATGTAAGTGAATCACTGTCCCCCAGACATCTGCGGTTATATTATTTATATTTATATCTTTTAAAACAAAGCGGTGCGTGTGTGACATCATCTGCGCGCGCCGGCTACCATTCCTCCATCCTGTCCACTGAACTACTGCTAGTTTTACTCACATGCCTGGAAGATGTCTAGTGCTACTACCTCAGATGATCTCGCTCTCGAAATGGAATTGAACGATTTAGATTAGCTAGAATGAATATATGGGGTAGAGCGTAGCCGCCTGTGACCTGGGCTGCCTGTCACAACCGCAGTCCGGCGCATGACG